ATTATCTCCATATGTAATTGGTGTACTCGAAAGCGCCACCCGCTGAAAGCGCGATATCTTCGTCGTCGCTCAGCACCTAAAAAATGAGCAACTGAAAAGAATACGACGAACAAAAGTAAATATGTTTGAAATCATCGACGCACCAGATAATTGTCACCCCTCGCGTTCCGTTGAGAATGCTGCAAGATTTCAGGACTCATTTCGAGACAAAGTTAGAAAAAACTCAATTACAACACCTCACCTCGAACCCAGCAACCGAAGACTCCCCTTCTGCTTGGCCGAGCTCGCCTGAAAAATGAAGACTAATCAATGCGTAATAAATATAAAGACAGCGCCCGCGATCGCCATCAGGTCACTTTCCGCCGCGGAGGAAAATTTTCAGAAAATGCAACCCTCCCACCCCATCTCGAAATTTCACTAGCTGAAAATAGTAGTATCTGTTGGGTATGGCTAGCATATACTAGGATGGCTTACAAAAACTGCCAACGCTTAACACTGAAACACTGCCAGGGTGAATTTACAGAAAACAAATTCGACCGTCTCCCAAAATTTTCCTCCTGAAATGACTTTTGGACTCCCGCAGTGTTGTTAAAAATATAGATTTCGTGACAGCACAATATTAAGATGAACAGAAATCACTGCCTACTTCGGAAACCATTCGTTTGAGACGAAGGTGGAGAATGCCCTATCATGGGTCTCAAAGTTTTCAAACGCAACAAAATGTAGTGCAAACTGAACGCTGATACGGTGTTGGCGGAATCCTAAAGTGAAAAGAAAATTTGGTAATTTAAAATAGAAGGATCTCTTTCTCACTCACTATTATCTGATTTTTCAAAGCCTCGATCTCCAACAGCAATTTCTGCAGAACGTCTTCTTTGGAAAGTGCGGTGCCCCTGGGAACAAACTGCCTTCTTGGATGAGAGGTCATTTCTAAAACAGAAATTTATATCGAAATTTGTGGAATGACTCTTCAAATATTACCTCGAGAAGAACCCGGCGTGTTGAGACGACCCGTTTCAACCACCCCATCCACATCGATATACTCATCTAAAATAGCCACGGCAGAAGTGAAAGAAGCACTTTGTTTCTACTCAGAACCTTTTTTGATACCCTACAAGTACAAAGGGCTCGATAAACTATTTCGTGGTACACACCACATTTAAACTCAAACGTGAAGAGCTTGCTGCTTATCAGAAGTCCAAAGTAAACGTCCTGGGTATCATGGAATGGGCCTTCAACAAGAAGAAATGTGCTTTGTGGCGGCACAACGAGTGGTGAGCTCTGTTACCTCGAATGTAATCTCAATCACCTCCTCGTTGCCGCTCCCTTCCCCAGCTTATTCCGCTCAATCCATTTTCTATAACTTATTTCTATGTGCCGCTTTGTTTTATCATGCTGTTGTTCATTAA